GGACAGCCCTCCACTTGCTGCTGCTGCTGCTGCTGCTCCGCTCCTCCCCAGTCTCCAGGGACGGCGCCTACGATTGTGGAAGTCGATTAATGGAGAGGAAGCATGCTGCCAAATCATTTCCAGATGTCTAAAACGTGTGTTAAACATGTCTCAAACATTTAAAACATGTTTAAACCATGTTTAGAACATTTTCCGACATGTTAAACACATCTTACATTACATGATCGGATTTAGGGTGTCCATTGTCGAGGTATCCACAACCATACGAATCGCGGCGTTTCCTCTATGTTCTGCTCTCGCCCAGGTCTGTGCAACTGTTTCAGATCGGCGTCACGGCGACAATTTAATACTATGTGTGCGTCGCCCCCCAGTGGCGACTCGCGCGCCGAGAAATCTTATAGTATAAGTTCCATGGCGGGCGCAATACCGTTCGGGAAACGATCTTCTACACCATTGGTATACTATATGTTCGGGTCGGACGCGCGCCTCCGAGGAGTGGACACAGTACTAGTTGTCGATATTGATCGCTTCGGATCGGATCGTAATCTAGATTCGGAGGCATGTTTTGAACCTCTGGTCCGGGACGCCCTGGCGCAAGGGCCCTATACGGCAGCGGACGCAAGAGCTGGGATAGAGATGGGGGACAGATGAGGCAACTACATGGTGGAAGCCTGACCGTTGACAACCTCACCATTCTTTCTTTTAGTTGCTGCACGAAAGAACAAAGGCAGCTAGGAAAGTAAGCTCAGTTCAGCAAGGGACACTCTTCTTTGCTTCAGCTTTGGCTCTCTTCTTTGCGTTCCGGTTGTCAGAGCTCTCCCTGCATCTGTCCGGGTTCGGGGGCTGGCGCTTCCAGTTCTGGTCTGCGGAGAGTCGCAGTGCCGGGCAGTGCGCCAGGCAGTCTGTGGTCTTCAAGAAAACGCCGTGCCAGTCCTTTGCTTCCCTGTCGGAGGCTGCGCGATTATCTTCGGGCATTGCTCGGGGTACTCCCCTTGTCGTTTCCGTCGCGAGAGTCTCAGCGTCACTGTCTCAGCTAGGAGATTGACACATATTGACCTGCGAAGGGACTGTCTTTGCCTCTCCCGCCGGAGCCCGACTAGAAGAAGAAGGGGCTACCTCGGCAGGCGAACCGGGTGACCTGGAAGCACGTTTTGAGGTCAGAGCTCTCTTCTGCATGGCCCTCTCTGCGTCCTCCAGCTTGAAGTTGGTCTGCAATCGCGCTAGCATCAGGCATCCATGACAAAACACTCCGACAAACTTTGCTGTTCTCGGTTCTTGGAGGGTGAAAGAAGGGGTCTGCAACAGGGGGTCTTCAATGGGGGCTGAATGGCCCATGCATCTCAATGTATCGCTCATGTATGTGATCGGGTATGATCGGCGTCCAATGCTGGCAGTCATGGAGGGCCACTCGTTCGTGCCCGCGCCGTGCCCGCGCCGGCAAACGCGCCGCCCATCCATTATCATTCATGCGGGCGGCGAAATGGAGTGCAAAGATCATGAATCGTGCCATAGCATTATTTTTGGGACTTGTACACCTCGAATCATCGGACGTAACTGCTCCGCCTTCACAATCCTGAATCGTTCCGCAACACCATTTCTGGTGTGCTGACCATGGGAACGCGCGAATATCGCAATGTCGGCGGCGCTGAGGCGAGAGCCACATTTTGAAAAGGAGCCGCCTTCAATCCGTGAAATTATTTCGAATGTTAAGAACATTGTTCGCGGCGAGAGCCACATTTTGAAAACGATCCGTCCTCAATCCGTGGAGCTCTTGCAATCTTGCTGCACGAACGAATGTGCGAGAGGCACCTTTTGAAAACTGCCCGCCCCCCGTTTGTGAAACTGCTTCTTCTGAGTTTTTAGGATCATGAGTGGTAAGGAGGTCTCACAGGCGAAACGCCCAGCCCGCTATTTTGGCTTGCCCAGGGATGCGACATGCCGGAGCCATATTCAAGGAAAAGAACTGGAGGAAAAGGAGGAGGAGGCGGAGGAGGACCAGGAGCAGGCGGACAATGACCCCTCCATCCTGTCGCCCCCCCGCCCCCTCTCGCGGAGTCTCGTCCCTTCCCCACCGGGCGCTCCTTCGGCGCGCCGCGGGCGCCGTCGGTCGGCGCGGCCAGGCCGTCCAAGGGCGCGGACGAGGGCCCGGAGGCGGGGCCCGGCGGGGATGGCGCGCAGTTCGCTAGTCGCAATGCTTCTGGTCCGGCCTCTTCGCGCGTCTTTGCGGCCTCGTCTCTTCACCATGTCAGCCCTCTCTCGGGCCCTGGCACCCTCACAGGTGGCTCCGGCGTGAAAACTGCAGCAGGATAATCGGGTCTTCCTCCTCCTCCTCCTCCTCCTCCTCCTCCTCCTCCTTCCCCTCCTCCTCCTCCTCCTCCTCCTCCTCCTCCTCCTCCTCCTCCTCCTCCTCCTCCTTCCCCTCCTCCTCCTCCTCCTCCTCCTCCTCCTCCTCCTCCTTCCCCTCCTCCTCCTCCTCCTCCTCCTCCTCCTCCTCCTCCTCCTCCTCTTCATCCTCGATTTTTGCGATGTTGCAATCTTTCTTCGCGGCGTCGGACCGCAGGGGATGGCCATGAAGCAGGCGGGGCCCTGCATGGCAGGGGCTTCACTTGGAGGTCCTGCAGGTGGCCGCTCTCTGCCCCTATTAATTGGGGGCACCCGGGGGGCCCCGAGGCCGTCATGACACGACCGTGTTCGAAGGAGGAGGAGGAGGAGGAGGAGGAGGAGGAGGAAGAGGAGGAGGAGGAGGAGGAGGAGGAGGAGGAGGAGGAGGACACGGCTGAGACGCATTCCGCGATTCGGCCACATGAGGCCACGCCTGGCAGGATCAGTGTCCAGGGGTCCTGGAGGATCTTCGCCGTGTTCGCGCGCTGGGGGGCCAGCGGGAGCGCCAGATTAGCAGTCGCTCTGGACATGAGTCAGACAAGGATGCTTGCCCCGGCATGCTGCCCTGGAGAGCTTTCGAGGCATGCGGCTGTAACTGGCCCGTCGCTGAGGGCCCTTCCTCGGGCCCGTGGACTTTGGAATTGTACAGGATGAGCGGCTGTCCCCGAGGAGAAAGGGCCCGGGTTCCAGGGCGCGTGTCCTTTAGGACCCGTGTGTTTCACGACAACCATTTCAGCGAAGAAATGTTGGTTGTGGGAATTCCGCACGAGAGTGGCTGTGTTGGAGACCCCAGATTCGGATTTGTGTCACGTTCTCACTCCTTCGCGAGCTGAATCGGGGGCCTGCCAACATGAAAGCGCGACCATCACGGCAGTGCGATCATCACCACCACCACTATCATCACCACCATCACCACGTGATTCCACGTCGATCGTGTAGGACAGCTCCGAGCAGATGACCAGAATCACGCTCTGACAGCGCGTGATGAGGTTTGTGCAACCCCTGCCAGAGCGGTTCTGTGTCGACGCCGCGATTTCCAAAGCCAAAGGCTTTCGTTGTTGTTCATCGCTGTCGGAGCCCAGTAGTTCAATTTGCATATCTGCGTGTCTGTCGCACGGTGCCGCAGGAGCCCCCCCCACTCGTACGCTCGTCTCTTCGGCCAGCCCGGGAGTCGGACTTACGGCGAGAGGGGGGCGGGCTGGTTCAGGGGGGAAGCGTCGACCCCGAGTGGCCCAACCAGCGCCCATCGCCGCCCTATCGGCGAGGCATCGGTTCCAAGTAAATGTTTCCCCCTTGAGCCCGTCCCCGCCCTGGTCCCGTGGGCAGGGATCGCATCTGCATCCACGGCCTCGCGCTCGCGGCCATGGACTGACTCCTCGGCCACGTCCGCACGCATACGGGTAAGCTCTGCGTTCATGCCCCGTGCGAAACGCATCTGTGGGATCGCGTATCTGTGAGATCGCGCCTCGGCATCAAGACCGCGAGGGCACTGCCGCTTGTGACCCGCGGCTCCCCTCTTTTGGTCACCGCTGGAGGAAGGAGCAGCGGCACCACCACCAGGACGCCCGCCTCCAAAGAGAAGGCCCACGATGCCCCCCCCCCGCTGGAGGCTGAAGATGCCTCGAGCGGGGCAGAGGGGCCTCACCACCAGGAGGACTCCCCGTGGCTCCTCGCGCTGTCGTCCCTCGCCGCCGCCCCCCCCCCGCACCCCCTCTTGAGCGAGCCCCCGCTGCGCCCGCGAGGGTGCTGGCGTCGGCACCGACGGGGACGCGTGCGCAAACGAGCAGAGCGAGGAGGACCCACTGTCGGGGGGGAGGAGGTCGCCAGACGCAGATCGGAGGAGGGCCCGTCGAGACAACACGGCCGCCCCCCCCCCCGGCGTTGTTCCAGCCTCTTTTCGGGGCTCCTGGAGGCTTCTCGTCGCCACCCACGGCCGGATCCGCGTGGGCAAACGGATCAGGAGAGACCCGTGGAGGGATCCCGGGACCGAGTCAGAGAGATGTGGGCTGGGCGGAGGAGCCGCCGTCGTCTCAGTTTGGCCCTTCTGCGAGAGGTCGACAAAAACACGAGACGAGCGTAGACTTTCGGAGGTCCGCGCGGATACCCCAGGGTCGGCTCCTGGGCCTCCCGAGGCGACGCCTTCGGCGCCGCTCCCGGCGCGCGCTCTTGCGCGCCAGGGGGAGGGTGGGGCGGCGGGGTCCAGCGCCGACCCGAGAAATCCGCACGCGCACTCCTCTGGCATGTGATGCTGGTGTCGCTGCTGGCCCCCCCCCTGAGATCTGCGACCACTCGCGGACCCTGCCCCTGCGGGTCCCCTGGGCGCTGGGGCATCGGACCCCCCCCCCCCGCCGGGGTGCACCTGGCTGCAGACGCCCCTCGAGTTCGGAGCCACGGCCAGTCTTTCAGAAACCGGACCTGCACGGGCAGGGTTCGCATGCGGTGGTCGGGGGCATCCAGGCTCGGGGGGGGGGGATGCATCGACCCCAGCTCGCCCATGTATCGTCGATAGGGGCCCGATACAGAGGAGACCCATGCCAAGAAACACCCTGCTTGTCTCCAGGGTGCCCTGGGTTTCCTTGGCGTCGATGGTTTTGCCATGGGGAGCGTGACGTTCCCACACCAGAAATCTGTGGACCTCCTGGGGTCTCAGGGTCGGGCTTCTTGAGGAAGGTCTCTTGTGGACTGGCCTCCACTGTAGACCGTTCGCCGCCCAGGAGCATGCGGTCTCGCTGTCTCGGGGGGGGGGCCTGTCGCCGAGCTGCCGGCGATGCATCGCCGAGGCCAGGTCGCAGTCCCTGCCTGAGCAGGTCCCCCCCCCCATCCCTTGTGGTCGCCCCTCCCCGGGGGCGCGAAGGTAAACAGCGCCTCGCGCGCCGCCAACCCGGACCGCTGCCGCTGTCCTCCTCTCCTGGGAGGCGGCGCCAGGGCGCGAAGAGCACCGCGCGCGGCGCGCCCCGCGCGGCGCGCGATGTGCGCGAAGGCAGTTAGGGGTGAGTCGGGCCCTGCCCCCGGACCTGTGGCGCCCTGATTGTTGTCAGCACGGCGTCCCGGGAGGGTCCCGCCCTTTTCCCCGGGGCTGCTGGGGGCGGCCAACGGGGGGGTGATGACTGGGGGGGGGGGATGTCATGGTGTGGGCCATGATGTTCCCCCAGATTTCATGGCGCCTCTCCTTATTTCATTACGTCCCCGGCCCCCCCTTGGGCAGCTCACGTGCCACCCGCCATGATTTGCATCCCCCCCCTCTTGGACGCCCCCCTCTTATGGCCGCCCCTGAGACTGGCTCTTGACCCCGGGCTGTTGCAAGACCGTCCCGGAGCCCGGCGACGGCCCGCCCGGAGGATAGAGAAGGCCAACAAGAACACACCCCGTCCTGGGGGCGGATGGTACACTGGGGTATGTGACCCACATGCCCTTCGGGGGGGCTCTTGAGGTCACCCACTGGCTCCAGGGGGGGCCCTATAAAGGGCCCCTTTCTTATAGTTTTTTTTGCTCTTTACCCCCCCCACGTCGGTCACCCCTCCCCCGTTCCACCCGGCCGACCTGATGGGCCTGTTGTCCACCACCACCACCACCATAAGTTGGAGTGAAGGGAGTCCTCCTCCTCCTCCTCCTGCTCCTCCTCTTCGTCCTCCTCCGCCTTGTCCTACTCCTCCTTCCTCTTATCCAGCTTATGGTGGTGGTGGTGGTGGTGGTGGTGGTGGTGGTGGTGGTGGTGGTGGTGGAAGACGGGCCCACCACGACCGCCGCTTCTTCTCACGGCGCGAGCTCGTCTGGGCCCCCCCCACCATTAAGTCGGGCCTGTCCCTCTACAGGAGGAATATTCAAAACTAGTAAGAACATAGTCAGGGGACTATTTTTTGATTATCTGTAAGGGCTTCGCCCCATGCCGCCGGCCCCCTGTCTCAGATAATGGGAGATGCAAGAGCTAAATCATGAGGTCTGGGCGCCGCCGTGAATCAGTGTCGGGACCTGTTTGTTTTTCGACCCTGACCCTACGGATCTGCGTGAGGAGTGTCACCGAATTTTAGAAATGTGGCAAATATCATATGTTTTGTTTGACCCTGACCCTACGGATCTGCGTGAGGGGTGCCGCCGAATTTCAGAAATGTGGCAAATCCCCTGTGCTTTTGGACCCTGACCCCGCCGATCTGCGTGAGAGGTGCCACTGAATTTCAAAATTGTAGCAAATCCAGTGTGTTTTTGGACCCTGACCCCGCCGATCTGCGTGAGGGGTGCCACTGGATTTCAGAAAGGTGGCAAACGCCATATGTTTTTGGACCCCGACCCCGCCGATCTGCGTGAGGGGTGCCACCGAATTTCAGAAATGTGGCAAATCTCATGTGTTTTTGGACCCTGACCCTACGGATCTGTATCAGGGGTGCCGCAGAATTTCAGAACTGTGGCAAATCCCATGTGTTTTTGGACCCTGACCCCGCCGATCTGCGTGAGGGGTGTTAGCAAATTTTAGAATTGTGGCAAATCCAATGTATTTTCGGACCCTGACCCTGTCGATCTGCGTGAGGGGTGCCACCGAATGACATCCCATGTGTTTTTGGACCCTGACCCCGCCGATCTGCATGAGGGGTGAGAATTTTACCCACCCCATCAATTCAGAGCATACGCTCAGGGCGTGCCAAACCTGCTCGTTTGGGCCTCCCCCCCTCGCGCGGTCCATCAACAAGGAACAGCAAGCAGCAAGAAGCAGAGCTGTAACAGTGGAAACTGGAAGCTGCAACTGGCACAGGAAACTGCGAACCTTCGGCCTACAGCCTGGTGGCCCCACAAGGGGGCCCGCGGATTGTTTTTTGACCAGTTTGGGGCATCTGTTGACTCTTCCTTAGTTTTCCTCCGAAATCCCCCTGTAGGGGGACGGGCCCGACCTTACCCCACCACTCGAGGGGCCGAGCCTGCCCGGCGGGGCCGCCGCATGCTGCACGGGGCCTCTCCGCACGCCCCCCCGCCCTCGGCCGCAGGCGCGCGAGCGCCGCGGCGGTCCTCGCGCCTCTCGCCCGTGCCCTGGGCTTCGCGTGCGGCGCCGCGCTCCCGCGCCCCGTCGGGCGCCACCGAAGCATGCTGCGACCACGCTCAGAGGAGGAAAGGGGCACCCATACCTCTACCGCCTCGCCCGTTTTCCCCTCTTTCGCTCTCCTGGTAGGTTCTCGTCGCCGCCGCTGGATTGGTCAGAACGCACCTCAGGAGAGGTCCAGGGACTAGCGGTATGGGTACCTTCTGATTCCCCCACAAGCGTGCGTCGCCCCCAGAGGGGGCGGCGCGCGCGTCGAGGAGTCTCGTAACATGTGCTCCGTGGCGGCGGCGCTGTCTGGCCACGCCGCTCGGGAAACGACAGATGCTACAAGGTGGTTGCACTGCGGTCGGGGCTGATGAGCAGGTCAGCCCTGCCAAACCCAGGGCACCCTCTTGTTTTGTATTTCGCGGCCCATGCCTTCTGCACTCCTGGGGCAACGTGGCCCTCGGAAGGGTCTTGTGCCCTCCCGCGTGTCCTCTCCCATCAGCCTCGACTGTATATGTTTGGGTCGGGCGCACTTGCCCAAGGGTGTCACATAGCACTAGTATGCTCAATGGCGTCCCACGGTTGTCTCTGGAGGAGGGCGAGTTGAGACAACGCTACTCGGCGGTGCGCCCATGGAGGAAGCGAGGAAGAGGAGGAGCAGGAGGAGGAGGAGGAGGAGGAGGAGGAGGAGGAGGAGGAGGAGGAGGAGGAGGAGGAGGCCTTCTCAGAAGACGGCGGGGCTTCTCGGCAGCCCTCGCGCCTTTGTGAGTGTCCTCCGTCTTCGGGGGCGGCTCAGCAAGCTTCTCGAAAGGCAGGAGGCCTTCCGAGCCCTTTGAGAGGGCTCGCACCTTCTCATGCCCCCTGGGGCGCCCCGCCCAGTTGCGGTCAGGAGCTCTGGTTCTGCGTGTCGCTCCGCCGGTTCTGTGGCCCACCACGCCTCGGCGCGGCACGCCAACCGCGAGCCTTTTCCAGTCTCCCAGCCTCGCGGAGCGGAGCGCGCTACAAGACCGCTCGCAGGGCATAGCGCGTCGCCGGGGGCCACCGCCGCGAGGCGCCGTGCAAAAGTCCTTGACCGTCATTGGTCTGCGGGGTGCCCCCCCCTTACCACCACGAGGATGCAGCTCGGAGGACTGAGGCAGGTTCGTCACCCCGCGGACGCAGTCGTCTATGCTGCCGTCCTATGCTGCCACGACTGGAAGCAGGCGAAGGACGAGGACCAAAACCTCGTCACCACGCGGACGCAGGCTCGTCACGACGTGCATGTGGACCCCGGGAGGAGTCTTCCTGATCGATGTTTGAACGGCCGCGGTCTCAACTCGTCCTGCTCGAACTTGGGCGCGCGTGCGGCCCTGCGCTCCCGCGACCATGCTGTCGCTCCCTCCGAGGTGCGATCGTTGCCGCCGACTTTGAGCTGAGCGTGGCTCCGCGCTCGAAGTGGAGGCGGGATGGGGAGGCGACGGGGGGGGTGATGGTTCGAGGAAGCGCAAGCATGGATTGAGTTTCCACACGAAATCGTCGCTCTCCGTCGTCAAATCAGGCGGCGTTGGCGCCATTCTTTGGGGAGGTCCATGCGCAAGATTCACGTCCGGAGGGAGCGTGTTGCCGCAGGCAGATCGCAAAGGCCCTACTGTGTTTCACCAATAGAGCAATCTATCCCATTCTGTTTCTTATATGATATATGATATATCATATATATATATATAACCCTTCTGGCTCCCCCACTGGAGTCACGCCCCATCTGTAGACCAAAGATGTCGGACCCCCTGGGGACTTCAAGAACCTACCAAAACCATTGGGAAATCAGCAATGTTGTATTCTTGGGCATCCTGATTGCAGTTCAACGCGAGCCTTGAGACGGCTCTGGAGGGCCTCACAATTACCACATGTGGCCTCACTTAAGATGGCCGTAAAACGGCCCAAGAGGCCTCCAAGACGGCCTGAGCCGCCTTCAAGACGGCCCAGGAACGCTCTAGCAACATATGCCGATATCTCAAAGTTTTGTTGTCACATTTTAGCATTCTCCATTTCGGGCTTGCGACACGCCAAAACCGCCACAGAGGCTTCCAAGATGCCCCCGAGAGGGCCCAATAAGCCTCCAAGAGAGCCACAGGACTGCTCAAGATACCCCGAAGACTGCACAACATACACCCTAAGACGACCCTTACAGGCCCAGAGAAGCCCCCGGGACGGCTTCCGAAGGCGTTAGACGCGCCCGAAGACGCCCTACGCACCAAGAGGCGTTCACCAAGTTCCCAATCAGCCCCAAGACATTCCCGAGAGGCCTGAAGAGGTCTCCAGAAGGCTCCTAGGCAGGCCAAAGCGGCAATACTCTACAAACTCCGGGCGTGCACACCGCGAAGCGAGAGGAATCCACAGCTTAGTTTTGGTTCCCCCCCTGGAGCTCTCCGCGGTGAATAAACTCGTCTCGAAACTCGTCTGCTCCCGAAACCTCTGCTCCTCCTCAAAGTGCAGCTCTCGCCTTTAGCGCCGCGCGCATTCGTCTGAAAAGTTTGCCACAGTTACAAGGATGGAGGGCTGGTGTGGTTCAAAATCCAGCTCTCGCCTCAGCGCCGCGCACTCTCGTCTTGAAAGTTTGTATCAGTTACAAGGATCGAGGGCTGGTGTGGTTCAAAATCCAGCTCTCGCCTCAGCGCCGCGCACTCTCGTCTTAAGAGTTTGTCTCAGTTACAAGGATCGAGGGCTGGTGTGGTTCAAAATCCAGCTCTCGCCTTAGCGCCGCGCACATGCGTCTTTGTCTTCGTCGTCGTATCGCTGTCGTAGTCGTAATCGCACACGTACTCGTTATCGTCTTCGTCTTCGTCGTCGGACCGCCCGAACTAGAATTATTTTCCGCTATTGTCGGGTGGGGTCGTTTTTCCAGTACTCAATAAATTCTCCCGAAAGATTTTTATTTTCCATCTACTGGCCAGGGGATTTCTAAAGACCTATCGGGGTTCATGTGTGCCCGAGACGGGGGCGGGGGGGGGGGCGGAGGAGAGGAGGGGGATGAGGGAGCCCGGCGGGAGGGACGAGGAGGGGAGGGCACGGGGAGAGGGGGCGAGAGAGGGGGGGGGTGGGCGGTCCGACGCAATGCCTCTCTCCTCGCGCCGGCAGGAGCAGCTGCGCAGAATCCTCGCGCTGTCGCAGCGAGAGGAGACCTGCGGCCGGAGCGCGTGATGCACCACGGTCGTCGTCGTCGGTGAGGATCCACGGGTCGAGGAGTCGAGGAGTCGGCTGCACGCAAGAGTGACCTCTCGCCGCAGTGACCTTGTGTGCGGGCCCACGGGAACTCCCCGATCGCTGAACGAGGTGCGATGCCAGCGGCTTGCGCGCATCGCTTTTGCCCCGTTCGTCCCCCCGAACGCCCCGCACGAGACGGCACTCCTGCCTTGGGTCGCGCCTGCTCGCAGCTGGTGGTTGTGGTTGCGAAGCCTCGTGACAGGCACATGGGAAGTTGAGACGACATAGCGCGGCGCACGGTAGCTCTGCGCAGCTGTCGTTTCCGCTGTCTGCTGGGATGGTCGCTATATCTTCGCTGGGAAAACCGAAAGCGTCGGAGACGGCAGCCGCGTGTTTGCCGACTTCTCCGGCCCGCTTCTGCCAAGGACGCCCTCTCTTTCTAGCGCCAGGTGGCTTTTTCAGAAAGCACGCGAGAGGAGGAGAGGAGGAATGGAAGTGGCGGGTGGAGAAGGAGGGAGAGGAATGCGGAGGCTCAAGAGTAGGGTCTTGGAAAGGGTGACCTCCGGCGCACCTTGCTATCTGCAAAGAACCACAGTTGTCTCTGGAACAACACACTGCTCAGCTTCATCCGCCCCGAAAGCTGCAGCACGCTGGCGTTTGGGGCCATGCCTCAGTACGAGTTTCCGATGCCAAGAACGCGTCGGAGGCACCTCGCGTGGAGTGCGCCCACCTTAGCTAGCTCCTGCTTCTTCAGCCAGATGGTGTGGAGGTATTAGAGCAACTTCGTCCGCACGCACGCTTCGAAGATCATCAGCTTTCTCTGGGCCGATACCACGGAGCGGGACCACACTCGCGATAATGTGTCAAATTTCGCCTTCGCCTGACCCAGCCGTCGATTGAGCTCAGGCCCGGCTGAACCATTTGCCGAGAGCACCTTGCTCATGTAAACAGGGTGCCCCTTGCCTGGGATGAGACCGCCGTCTGGCTTAGATGTTTCAGCCTCACACCTGGCGGCCAGCATGTCCAACTTGCCCCAGTTGAAGACCAGTCCGTAGTTGGACCCGGCGGATTCAATCGCTCCCATGCAGCGTACGTCGCTCATTTGCCTCGACAAGACAGGTCCGCGTGGACGAGACCACATATCTCCCCGCTGGCACTTCACAGGCTCTGTCGGGCGTCGCTCAGGAGGGCAGTAATGACCATGACGAAGAGGAGCGGTGAGAGCGGGCAACGTTCAAGCGTCCGCCGTGCCGTTCCGCGACTTGAACCCGAACTGCGCGGAAGCTGGCGAAGAGCATGTATCTGGCCTGCAGCATACAAATCGGACGATACTTCCCACATTTGGAAGTATCGCCCTTCTTGAATTTAGCCGTGACCAGGGAAACGTGCCACGCCTCGGGGACCGAACCCTGCCGCCAGCATTTCTCGCAGAAAGCAGGAGCCCATCTCTGCGCTGGAGATCCCGCTTTGCACGTAGCATTCCAGACATCGCTGGGCGCGCCGTCCGCGCCGCAAGTTTTTTCTCGTCTCATTCGTTTGGCTGCCGCGGCCACTTCTTCGTTCGCTGCTGATTGGGTCGTCGCACGCGCTGAGCTCGCCGCCGAGGGCTCATGAGATAGTGACGGTGTGGCGGGGGGGAGCCCACGGAACCTCGCTCAAACACCCGGCCAATGTCTCTGCGCGGCAGTCGGAGTTCACGAGATCCGCATCCGTGCCCCTCAGCCGCCCCTGCTGCAGAGCAGACCCCTTCCAGAAACGCTTCAGTAGATCCCACTGTCCAGTGGCCAGGCGACTGTCGGGCCACGCTGATCTGTCGCTGCGCACGGAGCGTTCCACCTCTGCGTGCAGCCGTCTCTCCCGGTCCGCTCTCCCGCCTTGCCTGGCTTGCGTCCTCCGGAGGATCAGGGACGGTGTCTGCCGCGACATCTAAGGGCGCTTCTGGCGAGAGCTCCAGGCTGGGAGCGCAGTCGCTGGCGGCAGCGTGGACAGATCGAGTCATGGCCTCCTCTATAGGTCATGTTTGGTCACCTCGCCACGAGCGGTTTTTTCGAGAGTCACGCCGTGTCGAACACCCGTGCGAATCTCGTCCCTGTCGGCCCTTCAGCACGTTAAGGTCAAGCTGTCGCGGGCGCCGTTTCTTGGGCTCCCGGGGGACGTCGATCTCCAAATCGGCAATAGAGGGGGAAATTGGTGCGAAGCCAGAGCACGCGTCCGGTCACTGCGAACATTACCAATTTGGTGCATCCAAGCGGCGGGCGGGCACGAGGACAAAGTCAATCTGGCCCAAGTTGGCTGGCACAGGCGTGTCAGACGGCTGACGCCCCACTTTGTTGCAAGTAGTATGTCTTTCTGCGGGAATACCGATTTATGTACTGCCGGCGTCGAGCTTCAAGGTCACACACATCTCGATCAAGAGGCTCCTGTTTGATGCCAGATTGTGCATAGCCCAAGGGCAGCCGAACATGTGAGGGCCCAAAAATATTCTCTTTCTGCGGGATACGCCTGTGCAGCGGCGTTGAAGTCGCCGAATAGCATGACCAGCCCGTGCATGACGGTGCCAGTCTTCGAAGAATTGTCCGCTATGCGGGGCGTAAGCGCTACAGACCGCCGCCTTGCACCCGCGCCCCCCCCCGCATCTTCAGATATGCCATGCCTGAAGTTTCCAGGCGGAAGTCCACTATGCTCGATCGGAGCCCCGAGGGGATGATGAAGCCCAGGCCGGCCGTCTGCTTGTCGTCTTGGTCGGGGGAGCCAGACAAAATGACCAACTACCCCTTTCTGACACATGATATTCAGAAGCTGGTTTATGCGTCTCTTGAATGCCCCTTCACATTCCACGTCCCGGTACGGAGCTGCTGGTGGCAAGGCCGAACGCGTCCGCCGTGCTCGCTCTGCTCGGGATCATGGCGCTGTTTCTGCAGTAGGGCCGACTGCAAGTGAAACCTGTATATCCAATGCGATCCTCGATACCGGAGCCAGTAATCTCGTGAATCGTAGGTGCAGGGGCGCCACCCCCACCACAGGGCGAATGATGTGTGAAACTCTGCCCGTGCGCTGTGTTTGCTAAGCGCGGTGGCCCTTGGCGCCCTCCTTGGCCGCCGTACCTCTGCCTTCGGTGCCTTTCATGCCCTCCGCCTCCTTCGCCAGCAGCTCCGTTGATTTCACGGCCAACTCCTTGATCAGGGGGGTGATCGTGGAGCCCTGCCCACGTCATCCGCTTCCCTTGCCAGTCGTGTTGCGCCGTGTTGCCCGCAGCTGTCGCCGTCAGCGCGTGCTTGCTCCCGACCTCGACGATGTACGGTGACTCGTCACTCACGGAGATCGCGTACAGCACCTCCTACTCCTCCTTGAGCACAAGCTTCAAGCTGAGGCAGAAGTTGCGCGCAGCCCCCTCGGGTAGCGAGCGGTCCTGCGACGCCCACACCCTTTTGCCCCCGTTGGTGAGGCCAGCGGTCCGGAGCAGATCAACGGCACGATCCCAATGTGCAGGCGACTGGAATTCTGCGAACACGATGCCTTTGAAGTCGCCTTTGGAGTACACCTTTACCGGAGCCGCGCCGTTGAGGTAGGAATGTTTCTTTTGCAACCAAGTGGTGGACTTCGTCAGGTCCTTGAGCTCGTCCAAGTTGCCAATGACCATGTTTACCACCCTCTTGTCCAGAGAGCCCGTGGCCCGGGGGCCCGGGATGCGCTGCCCCCACTGTGCTGCGAGCCCTCGTTTCTCAAGTAAGCCTGGATGCACTCGTAGGTTTTGGTCTCCATAGCGTCGATGTTCGGCGAGGCGGGGGTCCAAGAAGGCTGCGGGGCTCCTTGGAAGCCCTCGCGCCTCCTGGGTGGCCTGGTGCGCCCTCTCCGAAGCCGCAGGGGCTTCTGAGAGGCCCCGTCACCTCCTGAGAGGGTCTGCCCCCTCGTCGGAAACGGGGACATCTACATTGCCAGTGGCGGGCTGTTTTCGTTCCCAGGGCTCTTTGCGGGTCGGGGACGACGTCGGAGTGGTGTGGTGTATAGTTTCTGATCCGTTCTCTGGGAAGACCATGGAACATATATCCACCAGGGTCATCTATACGCTCTCCTGTGCAAGCTTCAGTGCAGGGCCAGCAAAATGCGTCGGTGTGTAGAGTTCGGTTCCCTGCCTGTCACTTCCCCCCCTTGATTCGCCGCCGACGAGCGATGCTCGCTCCTGCCGCCTGAGCTCACCGCGCGCGGCGGGCAGTCTCGAGGGGCACGCCTCCGAGCGAGCGCCGCGCCCCGCGGCCGCGCGGGCGCCCATCGGCGGAGCGGGCGGGCGAGGCTCCCCCCCCCGCCTGCGGGCGAGTGGCCACCTCCTGGTCAGCCTGCTGTTGGGCAGCACCACCGAGGGGACCAGAGCTAGGTCGGGCAGGTCCTCCCACGGTTCGGATGCAACTCCTGGGAGGTCAAATTCTGATTTTGCCCTGGTCCGAAATCCAGCTTAATCTGGCTTAGTCCTGCTTGATCCGGCTTGATCCCGCTTAATCCGGTTTAATCCGGTTTAATCCCGCTTAATCCGAGGCCCACTCTGGCGTAAGAGCCCCCCGCGCCTCGTCCGGCGAAGAAGACGAGGCAGCTGCGCAAACATGCACACTCGGAGCCCCGCGCGCCAGGGTGGGCAGCGGGGCCACGATGACTTTCCGGCTGTCGTGGCCTCCTCTTCCTTCCAGCGCATCCCGTGGCCCAGACTCGTCCGCGCCCATGCCCCTGGCCAGGAGCCGCCCCCCCCTCCCGGCCCCTCCCCCTCCCCACACCCTCGACGCCATCATTGTGCCACGACCTGGGCCCCAAGAGAGGCCTGGACCCACTCCCTGGGATCGGCGTGTCGTCCCGAGCCGCTTCTTGACGGTCCGGGGGCCCGGCGAGGGCCCCACAGGGGCCGAAGACGGCCAGAGGCCTCTCGTCGTGATTTTCGTCACGGCTCGAGGGGGTCCGGCGGGCCCGTGCTTGTGGCTCGGCTCCAGCCGCGCGCAGTATCGCGGGCTCTGGGCCTCCTCCTCCTCCTCCTCCTCGTCCTCCTCCTCGTCCTCTTTCCTATCCTCCTCCCTCCCCCCCCTCCTTTGCTTCTGCCTTCTCCTCCCTACCCTCACCCGAAGCCTCACCAGGCCAGCAGCAGCAGCAGCAGCAGCAGCAGCAGCAGCAGCAGCAGCAGCAGCAGCAGCAGGAGGGACGGGCCGTGCCGCGACCGCGCCGCGGCGCACATGCCGCGGAAGAGCTTCCCGCTGCGGCGGCTGCTGGGCTCCGCGGCGGCGGCGGCGCCCGCCCGGGCGGGCGCGACCGGCGGCGGCGCGGGGCGGCGGCCGCGGCCCCCAAGGGGCCGCGCTGGCCTGCAGGCGAGGGTGGGCAGACCCTGTCTACTACTCGGCGACTGCAAGGGGTGTGGTTACGCTGGGGTGTGGTTTGCGATCGGCGCCGTTGGGGCCTGGGGGGCACGACATTCTCCTCGTCGGGCCTCCTCGGGGCGCGGCGGAAACTCTGTCGAGGTCCCAGCCCGCACCCCAGGGTGCCCCCCAGGCGAGGATATTTCCTGGGGTGGGACCAGAGCGCAGAACGCGGTATGTTACTAGGCCAATCGAGGGGGTCGACTTGGGCCCCTCCGAGCGTCTCCGACGTGCCCCCTCGCCTCCCCCCCGCCTCCCCCCCCCGCCCACTCGCGGGTCGCTGCGAGGGGCTGTCAGTGGCCTGTCAGTGGCCTAGCTGTCAGTGGTCTGTCAATGGTCTGTCAGCCAGCTGGCAGTGAAGTGTCAGTGCACTGTCAGTGGTCTGTTCGTCACTTGTCAGTGGTCTGTCAGTGGTCTCTCAGCGGTCTGTCAGTGGTCTGGTCTGACAGTGGTCTGTCAGTGGTCCGTCGGTGGTCTGTCAGTGGCCTGTCCGTGGTGTGTCCGTGACCTGTCAGTGGTCTGTCAGTCTGACAGTGCCTGTCAGTGTCTGTCAGGGGGAGGGTCAGAGTACGAGGCATGGGTGGGACCACAACGTGCTTCGACCCTCACCACTGACAGACCACTGACAGACACTGAACGACCACTCACAGACCACTGTCAGACCACTTCCAGACCACTGACAGGCCTCTGACAGATCACTGACAGACCACTGACAGACCGCTGACGGATTACTGACAGACCACTGACAGCCCACAGACCGACCTCTGACAGATTTCCCACAGAGCACTGGCAGACGATTGACAGCTCTGACCTACCTCGAGGGTTGGCATCGCGTTCGAACGCGTGACCTGGTGCTTCAACGGTGACCGTCCTGCGAAGCCACATCGAACACAGCGGTGTTTGTTTGTGTGTGTGTGTGTGCGTATGTGTCATGGGTAATGTGTACTCGTGTAACGGTTGATGCGAGGTATGGGGTTTGATATGCCCGTCGGCGGCGATGGCCGGGGTGGGAGGCGCTCTTTTACTGGGGGTACTGGTGGTGGTGAGGGTTCGGGATGCCCTGGGGACGGGTCACTGAGGGGCGCCCTGGAGTGTCCCTTAGAGGGCCCTGGGGGCGACCCTGGGTGGGCCCTGGCACCGCCTGGGGGGTGGGGGGAGTCGTAAGTACGTTGTGGTCCCACCCTGGGGTATTTCCATAGACGGAGCACTCGCGCGTGTCTTGTGCGCAGGCCTCGTGCGGGGGACCTCGTGCGCCTTGGTGCGGGGCTCTTGTGATGCGCTGCTCTGCACAAGGCCCGGTGTGCGCCCTGCGCGCCGCCGCTCTTCGCTCGGGCACTCATTCTATCAGCCATCGTGGGCCTCTCGGATGGGGTCCGAGCAGACGGGGTCGGAGGGTCGCGCCGCATCACCGATGCATCGGCAATGTGGCTCGATTTGGAGCCCGATTTTCTCCACGCCAGCGGCGCCGGTGCATCGTCAACGTCACCGGTGCATCGCCAATGCATCTGCGGTGCATTGCCGATGCGGTGCGTTCCCCCGACCCGTTCCACTCAGACCGCATCTAGGATACCTCTCTAGGATGCCTCTGCTGTGAGAGCCGGGCTTTGCAGCTCTCCCCACACAGAGCTTGCTCTTGGGGCTTCTCACTTCTGTTCCCCACAGAATCGGTCGGTTCGGGCGAGAATTCTTTCTCCACGCGTCCGGCCGCTGCCGCCCGGTGCCGCCTCGCTGCGGCCTCTTGCTGCGGGGGGGGGGTCCGGCGAGGACTCGCCACGTGCAAGCCCGGCCCCGCCCAGTGCAGGGCGTGGTCGCCCGGTCTCGGGCCCTGGGGTCGGCACAGAGCTGTCCGGCTCGGCAAGTGCCGCACAGAGATCCTCTTCCCTCCCCCCTCCTGCCTCCCCCCTCCTGCCTCCCTCCCTCCTTCCTCCTCCTCCTCGCTCCTCCTCCTCGCTCCTCCTCGCTCCTCCTCGCTCCTCCTCCTCCTCCTCCTCCTCCTCCTCCTCCTCGTCCTCCTCCTCTCCTCCTCCTCCTCCTCCTCCTTCCTCCCTCCTCCCTCCTCGCTCCTCCTCGCCCCTCTCGCTCTCCTCGCTCCTCCTCGCTCCTCTCGCTCCTCCTCCTCCTCCTCCTCGCTCCTCCTCGCTCCTCCTTGCTCCTCCTAGCTCCTCCCTCCTCCTCCTCCTCCTCCTCCTCCTCCTCCTCCTCCTCCTCCTCCTCCTCCTCCTCCTCCTAGGGCTGCGATCGTGGGGTCTCGCGATGTTGCACGTCTTTCGCAGCGTCGGGCCTCCGGGGAGAAGGACACGGTGCAGGCAGCAGCTGCCCCTCCCTCGTCGCCACGGCCGGGCGGCTTCGCACTCCTGGGCAGCGCGCGCCTCGGGAGAGGCCCACGAGGTCGCGGCATCCAGGGGGCCTCGACGGGTGCGGTGGCCGCGCCGTGTGGTGAGTCGGTGGGCGTTCGGGGTGGCCGCACGCTTCTGGCACTGGGCTCCGCTCTCAGGGGAGGTCGGGCGGCTGGGGCCTCCGAGGTCCCGAAGCGATGCGGTGACGGACCGTGCGGTGAGGTGTTTGGGGAGTTCGAGGCCTGAGGGGCGAGTGGCCTCAGGCGTGTGGAAGTCGATGAATGGAGATGAAGCATGTTGCCAAATAATTTCCAGATGTCTAAAACATGTTTCAAGCATACATCTTTCATTCAATGATAGGATTGTTCGAGTGTCTATTGTCATGGCATGCACAACCTCAGACAGTGAAGGCTCAGTTTTGGGGGGATCGCCTCCCTGCCCTCAGGGGCCCCATTCCTTCAGGGCCCCGCCTCTGAACCCAAGATTCCAGGCTGCAGGCGGAGCGGTCCGGGGAGGTCGCGGTATTTCGGTGCCTTTCTGCCCCCCTCCAGGTGGTGGGGGAGGTTCCCGTCGGCGGCGCGGGGAGGAAGTCCGCCAAGTCCTCTCCAGGCTTGCTTCGCGTGCTGCGCCTGTTCGGCGGGGACGGCGAGGGCGGCAGCGGGGAGGAGGCTCAGCATCGTCTAACCTGTCCCCATCCCCACTGGACCATGGCACCTCAGCCCCACCAGCCCACCCTCGTCAGGAGGGGGATCGGCTCCACGAGACTCGAAGGGAGCAGGCGCATACCCCCCACACAGAAGACTCGGGATGCAGCTCCCGGGAGGCCACACTCAGGACTGGCCCCGGCACACCCCTGGCCGAGAGCTCGCCCAATCTCGCTGCCTCCTGCTCGTGATCCACAGGAATGCCGCTTCGGCTGGCTCGAGCCCGTGCTGAGGCCAGCCTGATACGGCCCGGTGCCCCGACCTTCGGGCCACGAGTGGCCCCCGATCGCCCTGACGAAGGCCTCCCAGAAGTTGCCTCCCTCCTCCTCCTCCTCCTCCTCCTCTCTCCTCCTCCTCCTCCCTCCTCCTCCTCCTCCTCCTCCTCCTCCTCCTCCTCCTCCTCCTCCTCCTCCTCCTCCCCTCCTCCTCTCCTCCTCCCCTTCCTTCTCCTCCTTTCTCCTCCTCCTTCCTCCTCCTCCTCCTTCTCTCCTCCTTCCTCCTCCTCCTCCTTCTCCTCCTCCTCCTCCTCCTTCCTTCTCCTCCTTCCTCCTTCCCCTCCTCCTCCTCCTTTCTCCTCCTCCTTCCTCCTCCTCCTCCTCCTCGCTCAGCAAAAAGAGAGCGGCCTGCGGGGCCGAGGCCACGCCGGTGGGGGGCCCGGGGGGCCGGTCGGGCGATGCCGCGAGGCGGCGGAGCCAGGGAGCGCCCGGGCGCTCGGCCAGCGCTTCCGCACGCTGCGGGCGGGGGAGCCCGGGCACGTGCCGCTGAGCTCCGTGCGGGGGAGCCCCGCGCTCCTGGGGGAGCTGCAGGACAGGGCTCGGCCGAAAGGGCGATTTCGTGGGCCGTCTGCACGCTGGCCTGGGCGACGGCAAAAGAGCGGGGTCGTTTGCGCCGAGATTGACGCGCAGGCTGCCCGCGTGAGGCCGCGCGCAAGCGCCCTCGTCTCCACTGTGGTATGCCGCGCCGGCGGCCCGCGTCAGCCGCCGCGGAAGGGCGCTGT